GATGGAGAGATTCAACAGTTGATGGTTTTGTTCTGGGCTTTGTGTTATTGGTTGAATCGTTGTGGGGAAAAATTGGTAGCAGGTTTTGATCCAGAGGAGGAATGAAAGTGTGGTTCTTCATGTCCCCCCACCAATGAAGATTAAGTTGTGTTATATTGCTGGTTGGTTTGGTTTTCACTACAGGTTGCAGGTTTGTACAACCTAGTGTAGCAGGGGGCAGGCTGTATTGTCGCAGAGTTGTCTGGTGTGGAGGATGTGTTTTGTTGGGAAGTAGTAGCAGTGATGCTGTTGTGCAAGGGTTGGAGCAGTAATAGCAGGTATTGTCTGGCATGGGATTTGTGTTAGCTGCAAGTTTGTTGTCATGATGCTGCAGGTTATTATGTGGTGTGGTATTGGTGCAGGTTTTGTCTGGCGGTACGGTTTTGTCCTATGTCACTTTGGAGTGTGGCAGCATGTTTGGGGCTGGTGTGTTGCGTTTTTACAATGCTGTACCGAACGGCTTGCTTTGATGTTGTGACTGGCTTTTGATTTCGCCGGTAAAAACAACACCCCCATTCCTTGTACAAATTTTGTTAAAGTTTTATGAATCCCTTGATTTGTTTGTTCTTCTTCTAAATCATAATTGGACAATTGTTGCTGCCTCAATTTTGTGATTGTGCAGGTTCTGCTGATGATCAAGTGGAGAAGTACGAGCTGTGTTTCGGTCAGAAGTGAAGCGCCAATTAAACCTGAACTTCGCAGATGAGCACTCGATTGAGCAGACGAGTTAGCAACACAGACCTGGATTTTCAAGTTCAGATCCAAACTTTCCAGCTCAATTTCACAACATAAAGCAACTTTTGCTCTTGTGATGGCTATCAATTCACAAGATGAGAAGGTGAGATATTAATAATGGGTCCTCTCGTCATTTTCTAATCGCAAACCGTCCATGCCTCTAAGGACACTTTCATAATTATTGGCATGAGAAGCATTTCTTCCAGCCCGTGTTATTCTCTGAGGATCAGAAGACCCGATCGGTGAACTTCTTTGCCCACCCAAAATTCGGTGTCTCTTTTTTTTGTCTGTTTGACTACAACTTTTTCTCAAGACAGCGCATTTCCCAAAGTGACATCACATTTTCAAAGATAGGTTTCAAGGAAGGCCAAAAATTATTCTGAATGTCGAGGACTTCAAAAACAGTCTGCAGGCCAGATTTCGTAGGAAAACTGTTTTCCAGTTCGGGTACATTCTCACCCAGTAATACCTTGATTACTGCAGTTGCAGAAGATGATATAGAACGAAGATTATAGCCCCCCCTCAAGAATAACAAGCATTTTTCCACCAGATAGGGCATTCAACATGTGCGTCATCTGTGCATAGCCAGAGGGAGTAATATCACAACCTCCTGGGGGATCACCTCTGGCAGCATCAAATCCTGCTGATATTATGGTAAAATCTGGAGCAAATTCAGAAGCTATAGGAAGTACAACTTGCTGAAATGCAAAATTGTAATCATTATCACTCACACCACCTCGACTCCATGGAATATTCACACAGTATCCTTCTGCACCCATGTAACCAACCTCATGAGCACCTCCAGTACCAGGATAAAATGTTCCGTCCTCGTGTCTATGCAATGAAATATACAAGACTGATTTGTTTTTCTCAAATATTTCCTGAATCAGGGATGCTAGTAATCCACCTTTTGAAGAATTGTTTTTTTTTCTTTAACAGGTTTGATGTCTTACAAGCTAAAAGTGGGGTTGATTCTGGTATGGGCAGCATTGCAGCAGTGATACAAGTCGTACGAATTTGGTTTGTGGTTTCTGTGCGTGAATTATGTTGTAGAATGAAGTTTTTTAATGAATCATGGGAGGTGAGGTCACAACATGATATTTGTGAAATGGTGCAGGTTATGAATGGTTGTTGCTCGGAACTGAAGGCCTTGAAATTCATGGAGTCCCTGCGACATTGTTGCTTCACACGGTATGCTGTGAGACGCGAAACAACGGCTGGTTTGGTAGCTGATGCCTTGTGTATCGTGAAAATTTGCGCTACAACTTTGTTTCATTCGCCGTACGGTATTGGGTGTTGTATAATTCCGTTGTATTGGTTTTGCAGGCTATTCACTTGGTGGGTACCAACAGGATTCCGCAAACAAGCTGGAAACATCAGCTCCCCTTATTTTCTTCACGCCGCCGTATCCGTATGCTTCCATCGTGAATTTATTCGTAAAAGGAACTCCAAGACCAATGGGCTATGAAAACAACTCTGTCCTGTTCCCGTGTTGTTCTTTTGGGCTAACTTCACAGCATGTATTTTGGTTTTCCATAGGGAAACTTTTGATCATCATATTTTGTTTCTTTTTAATATTATCAAAAGATGGGATTTGAGCTCTTCTATTAACAAGAGACTTGTTGGAAATTTTAACATTTCAATTTGAACACATTTTGATGGCTTGATTGATGCAGCAGTGATTCTATGAATAGATTTTTAGATCCATTTGGCTTATATGTATGAAGGGTAAATGAAGAGTGAGGCTTATTTCTTGCAACTGATGAAATAACTATTTTCTTTGTGGCTTGCAATACGTCGATGTACTGAGGTTTGGGTCATAAACGACATGTTCATGCCTTTATCAATGCTTTGCCTCAAAATCAAATAACTTGAAATCAATCAAAGTTATCTTGCGGTTTGCGCTTTATTTGTTCTTTGAAACGCTTTTATGTGATGCTTTAGAGTGACTCCTTGTAATAACCGACTTTCAGAATCCATAAACCAAAGCTCACCTTGTCTTGACTCTAATACACACTTGAAAAGAGGCGTACATGACTGAAAAACTTTAAAACCTTGGTTACAACCTGTATTCTTTGAACTTATGAATAACTATTAGTGGACGAATATACAGATGAAGTTTATATACAGGTAGGGCAAATTTTAGGGTGCAACACCACTGATCTTGGAATCTTTCTTCATCTTTTGTTGTGACCATTAGCAACGTTTCTTCTTCTTCTTCATGTTTCGCCAGCTTTGCATCAGTCTCTTGATTTCTCTTCCTTTCTGGACAATCACTAGCATAATGACCATACTTCTGGCAATTGAAACACTGAATGTGGCTTTTGTCTGGCTTTCGACCACCACCTCTTCCTTTACCTGCAGCACCACCTCTTTGATTGCCTTGGTTCCAAGGTTTCTTCTGATTCGATTAGTTTCCTCCTTTGTTGCCATTCCAGCTACCTTTGCCTTTTCTTTCCTTTTCTGTCTGCGCCTGCAAAGCCATATCTTTCGACTTTCCTACAGCTCTCTCAGTCATCCTCTGTTCATGAGACTCAAGAGTCCCTTGAAGCTCTTCCTTCGTCAACACTGATAGATTTTTCGACTCTTCTATGGCAACTACCACGTGATCGAATTTTGGAGCCAACGATCTCAAAATCTTTGAGACAATTGTTTTCGTCGTCAGCGCTTCTCCACATACTTTGATTTGATTCACCAACCTCGTAGCTCTGGTGAAGAAATCTGTAATGCTTTCGTTGTCTTCCATCTGAAGCAACTCATAGGTTCTCTTGTGAGTTTGTAACCTCACCTCTTTCACCTTCTATGCGCCTCCAAGCGACTTTTCAAGAATCTCCCATGCTTCTTTTGCTGAATCGACATCACTAACCTTTTCAAAGTTATCAGGATCAACACACTGATGAATTATAAAGAGTGCTTTCTAATCCTTATTCTTCAATTCTTTGTGCGTAGCCTTTTCTGCCTCCGTTGCGTTCTCCACAAGCGATGTTACTCCGTCCTTCACAAGATCCCACAGATCTTGATAACAGAAAATCACTTTAATCTGCTTGCACCAATTCTCATAATTGTCTTTCTTGAGAATTGGCAGGGTCGCCGGAAAGTTGTCGTTCGGATAGTTCATAGCCATCACTATCTTCCTTCCTTGAATCTCTCAACCGGAGCTCTAGATACTAGATGTTGGAAATTCACCTCACACCCTATGAAGAATTCTCTTCATTCTTGATCTCAAGATTGATGAACAAACCCACAATATGATAGTAATGGTAACAACAAGTAATTATCAAGAACAACAAAAGAAAAGAAGAACAAACAAGAAAGAGAAGAAATATTTGGAGAGAATGTGTTACCCACAACTGTGAGATTTCTTATTGCTTATAGAACTTTCACTTGCTCAAACTGCAACTATGAAATCTGTTATATGTTGTGTTTGAATACAAAGCAAGACACCCTATTTATAGTTTTAGGTTTACAAAAACCCAAAACATAAAAGAACCAAAATATTCAAATCAAATCTAATCATATCAAATCAAATCAATGAATTACATTTAACAACTTTGAATTATGATAGCTTTGATAACTCTAGCAAAACCTAAGACATCAACAATGGGAGTCATTTGCACAGTTTTCCCCCAAAGAATGTCTACTAGCATAAACGTTGTCTATTAATTGATTTCTATAAGCGATTCATTAAGTTGTTTATCCAAACAATTTTTCACTAAACAAATTGCCATGATGTAACTAACAGGAATCTGCTGTCATAGCTGCAAAAGAATGAATGAGATCAGCAAGGAGAATGGGTCAGTCACCGGCTCCAATTGTTGCAAGGCTTGCAGTTTCCTTAACCAGACTTACACCGTTAAGAGACCAAATAGAATGGTACAAAACATGGTGTGATGAACAAGATGATGAAATGAAAACTAGGGGCATTTCCAAAAGAGAAATGAGAGTCAAGATGAACCGTCGCTACTCGCTATATTTTGGGACAATGCGATTGACATGTTAGAAAAACATGAGCTACCTCATGACTTTGTAACTAAAGCCTTTCGGATTTGTTCTCAAGGGTTATGATTATGAATAAACTTTGTTATATGCTTCATAATTATACTAACTTCTTAATATAGTAACCATACAGAAAAGCTTGTAACTTCCTTGCAAGATGATTAGAGTATTCATAAGAAAAAAAACATGCGCAAATTGTGATATCTAATGAGCTATGTAACACAACATTTTTAGCTGGTAAACACATTTAAGCAGGATTTCATCAAATATGAAAAGTTGTCAATGGGAGGCAAAGAAGGTATTCTTTTTCCTTTCTTCAAAAGTTCTTGCAAGTTAAGTCTTTGCAGGGTCAAAACATCTCTTGATTCCTTCCAAACAAAGGCGAGATCACCATTTTGAAATGCAAAGAGTGAACCAGGCTTTGATCCTGGATATTTGAAACCATAACCGTTTGCTATACCTTCTCCCATAAAAGCGTGTTCGATATTATTCCTCGATGATGAGTCCCTATCAGTTTTCGAAGGAAAAGGATCAGATGAAGGCTCGTTGATATTCACTGTGAACATTGCAGAACCATTAGGATGCATGGCGTAGCAAGTTCCTTCCAATATCTTTGTTCCGATGAGAAATTGTTGTCCCTTCGACTCTGAATAAGAGAGCAAAAGAAAGAATAAAGCCTTTCTAGGCTTGTCTTGAGAAGATTTTTCATGAGGCCAACCAAAAGTTCCTCCCCATAAACCAGCATACACTTGGTCTACTTTAGGAACTTGCAAAGGCATCTTGTAAAGTGCAAACCAATTCTTGTTCATATTCGGCCAGCCTCGAAAACAAGACAAGTTTGCAGTTAATGCCTTTAACGTTAGCCTTAGCGTGTCGCTTGATTTGAGAAAGTCTTGAAGCCTATCATGCTTTGTCTCATGGCTTGAACTAAGCATCATGTGATCGTTCCTTGTTCCTGGGGCCGTGTTTTGTTGCTGATCAATACTGATAACGCTGCCATCGATTGTACGAGAACTTTGATCCTCTCTTGTTCCTGTGTTCGTGCTGTGTTGTTTATCAACATTGCAAACGCTGCCATCAATTGAACAAGAACTTTGATCGTTTCTTGTTTCTGCGATTGTGCTGTGTTGCTGATCAATATTAACACAGCCATCAATTGAACTAGATCTTCCAAGGATATGTTTAAAGCCATCCCAAAAATAACCACCAAAACTTTTTCTCTTGATGCATTGTGTGTGACTATTCTCGTTGCTCGGGGGAAAAGATAAAGCCTTGGAATAATCATGACTCTTTCTTACCTCATTAGCCTGTAATCGCATCGAACCAACTTCTTCCTCTTGAGAATTTTCCCTATTTTCAATCTGAATACAACCAAGCTTATACATTTGAGTCATTTGAATAAGAAATTCTCTTCTTTCCTTCAAGAGCACCAAATCTTTCTGAAAATCGACATAATCATCCCTTGATCTACGAAACAATGGATCATACGCATAATTTGGAACCTCTAATCTAACTTGGCTAGTACTAGTAGTGACCTCAAGCAACTTTTTTCTATCCCTAAAACCCAATTTGCTAAAAGGAACTATTCCCTCATTATTATCTTCTTTCAAAGATTCAACCTCAAGCAGCAATAAATTACAAAATCTATTAACACACTTAACAGAACCATGATAAACACAATCGATTCCCTTTTCTTCCCTTCCATGAAGTAAAAACATACTCGAACCATCGAAATCGCAAACAATTTCAAACACAGGTGACCAAAGGATAGAACCATCTTGAATACTCCCCGACGAAACAATCTCCTGGGGAATTATTCGACACGCGACAACAGAAACAAAACCCGGCATTACATAAACAAGGTTACCAAGCTCAGGATTCTGTTGAACCCATATACCAATCAACGGTTTAACACTAGAAAGAAAACGACAAAGTACTTTGTAAGATGAAACATACTCTCTCCACTCAACTAGGTCTTTGTGTGACACAATACCTATAATGTCACATTGAGTAAACCAAACTTTTTCAGATGTCGCAAGAGCATACAGACTCTTGCAACATAAACTGAGATTGAAAACTTCTCTAGGGATCAAAAACCTTGAAACTGTGGCAAACACATCATCTGGTAGACAAAGAAGCAAACTTGAATCACTGGGAGAAGGATCAGGTAGCATCATAGTGGATCCAATCCAATCCAACCCAACAAAACTTAATGATAAAAAAATAAACTTTTGAGTGGTAGTGTCTTTGTTTACTCAAAAAAAACAGACATACGTATCAGATTTGAATTGGGTCATTTAATGTGTGATATTGGAGACTTTTCAGGATTGGGAAATGTTGTAACGCGTTTTGTTAGGGTAAATTGAAACTCAGAAAATGGGTGTAAAGATGCAGAAATGAAGTGGAGATGAGTCAAGTCAAGTGAAGTCACAGTCCCAAATTATAAGTTTGCATGATTGAAAGGCAAAGATATCTGTCACTTGGACTGTGTCCAGTGCCTGCCTACAAGACAACGTTCCAAATGGGACAAAACATGTTGCGTGGATATTTTGAGTTTTGAGTTTTATGGTACTCTTTTTCCACATTGTAAGAAGAAGGCAACAAATGCAAAGTACACATCAATAAATTGAACGTACAAATATTAATTTTAAACCTGGATATTCAATTTTCTTGAAAACGTAAATAAAATAAAATTTTTTAACACTATTTCAATTTTTAAATTTTTTTAATCTATGAGTAAAAATAATTTTTTTTTACCCAAATAACTCATCTTTTTAAAAAAAATCTCAAAATATTCAATTTTTTTTTTTTTAAAATTCAAAGTACTTCGGTTAGAATTTCTGAGTATCTAAGGGGGTCATTTCAATTGGCGACCCTTTGTTAAGGGCATAGAAGTGTCGCCAATTGGAATTGAGACACCTCATATAGTCTCCAATCCAATTGGCGCCTTGGTTATAAACACATAAGGGAGTCATCAATTTATCTAGAGACTCCTTAGAAACTGAAATAGAGATGTTCTGATCATTTAGTTTCACATCTATCTAATATCTTTATTCTACGGATAACATGTATCGTCGTCGGTGGAGAAAAGTCGTTTATTCGAGAGAGAAGTCTCTGATGGACATGTTGTTTTGAAACATACAAAGTTTCAATCAACTTAAGAGGGAGCTGAATCGGTGGTTAGAAGGAGACATTGATGAAGGGGAAAAAATCAGTAGTATTAAGCGACTTGATCGGCTGCGCGGATGAGTTCGTGTTAAGACGGACAAAGATGTGATGGAAGTCATATTTGGACCTAATGAAATTAGTTTGATTGTTGTAATCAGTTAGAAATGTTGTAATCACCTAATTAATGTTTTATGTTTTATGAAATTAGTATGTGTCGTGTGTTGTTAATGTTGTTTGTTGTTAAGACCGTTGTAACAAATACTCATCAATATGTGAAAATATTTGGTTACAACAAATGAAACGATAAGGTAAATCATGATGCATATGTTCCTCCGACATTGAGATAATTTCTTTAGTTGTGTCCGGGCTGACGACATATACTACACAATCTTATCATTTTATCAGCGGAGTCCATTTCGGTTCTTATACGCTTGCTGTTTGGGTGTCCCTTTTTCTTTCTTCTCATCTCATCGTTGTGCCAAACTGTGTCACCTTGGTATGAAGGCAAATAATCCTCCATTGGTAGCACTGCAAAGCCTTCGTTGTATACGTTCATAACATTAATCGCCTTGTAAACATCAGATAAATAGCCATAAGCATCTTGACGAGCATGTGCGCATGCCACAATGGCATATGAGTAAGGTACACGGAAGGTCTGGTACTTGCCACAGTCACACCAACATCTGTTTAATCTGACAACATAGGATAAATTGGACATCTCCTCATTATAGTCTATTGTTTCTTGTACACTAAATGTTTACCTATGACGGTCGAAGATTGTAACTGCATCTGTGTTGGCTCTGATAGTATCCTCTTTCATCAATTTCATTATGCTTTCACTAAATATTTGAACCGACGTTAACACTGCACTTCATCTTTCGCCTCTTGTTGCGAAAAGTGATACCAACCTATAATATGTTGATCTCACCAAAGCGGTGATTGGAAGGTTTCTAATTTCTTTGAATATCACGTTCATGGATTCCACAAGGTTTGTCGTTATGTGGCCTCAACGACATCCACCATCAAAAGTCCTTGTCCATTTTTTGAGTGGAACGTTATCCAACCAGCTTCCTGCATCTGCATTTAACATCCTAATTTCATTAAGGTAGTATTAAAATGTTGGTTGAGTTAGAGCATACCCGACATTCACAACTTTTTTGTGAAGGTTCTTGTCTTTGATTGCACACATGAAACTTTATGCAATATGTCTAGTGCAATATACATAGGTAGAAGGAGGATTATGCCACTCGTTATCATGGTTATTGTAGGCACTCTCTACAGCAGCATGTCTGCCTGAAATCAAACAGAGCTTGTCTTATGGAGCGACATGTGTTTTGAGATTCTTAAGGAAGAAACTCCAAGCAGAATCGGTCTCACCCTCAACCAGAGCAAAGGAAATGGGAAAGACAATAGTGTTACCGTCTTGTGCAACAGCCATAAGCAAGGTGTAACACCCTTTTCTACCCCAAAAATATAATGGAAAAGCATTCACATTTATCAGAGTAATATTTTAAACCTAATAAAAATCACCTCAAACAGTGTACATTTCTCAATAATTCAAATCAAACTCAATGCTCTGTAAACAACGGGTTTTCCCAAAATTACTTAAAAATTGCTCAAATGGCAATGAAACTCAAAAAGGCAAAATTCAAAGTTTTCCTTGCGCAGCAACATAATCAAAATACAATAATCAATAAAACATGGTTTAACTCAAATACACCAACCCAATGTTACACTATCAGAGCAAGACCCTCTTAGTCAACCAAAATGTCAAAAACTCCAAAAAGTCTTCGACGACATCCACAGCTAAACTTGGTCATCTGCATGTTATCCACGTGGAGGCAACATTCAAACAGACAAGGTGAGTAAAACGATTCATAATAAACAATATAGAAATCAATCTATAAAATAGCTTCATTTTCGTATTCAACATCATAATAATCATCAAGGAAACATAAAAAAGCCATAATATCATAAATTACACCAAATTGTCACATAAATGCAAATGCAACAAGACTCGTGCATGTGGTACCAATTCATCAAAATTTGATGGACACTGGGCCATCAACCCTCCATAGGTCCCCATCAATAGAATCGATTCTACACGAGAACCAGAGCACATCAAAATACTTCACATCCGCACAATGGGACTGAAGCCATAAGAATCAAACACTAGACCGAAGTCCAGAATGCATATGAATGCATGATGCACATGTCAATATCATCCTCATAATAATCTAATTAGGTGCATCATCATTCATCAAAATAATCATAAGAATCACGTCATCATAGTATCATCAAAACCTCATGGAATCAATGTCACAAATCATCACATTTCCTCATTGGGATTCATCATGCAATCATGTATCAAAATAATCATAAGAATCACGTCATCATAGTATCATCAAAACCTCATGGAATCAATGTCACAAATCATCACATTTCCTCATTGGGATTCATCATGCAATCATGTATTAATCTCAAAAGAATCACAATCATACTCATGGCAATTCATCATACATTCATTTAATCACATAGGAATCACAGTTATACTCATAGTAATTCATCATACATTCATTTAATCGCATAGGAATCACAGTTATACTCATGGTAACTCATCAAGAAAATCACAACATCAAAACATCAAGACATCACTGAACCAGAACAGAATTCGCGAAACTCTGCTACGTTCGCTAGCAAGTTTGTTGTGCGAGTCAGGGGCGAATGCTCGCCGTGCGAAGCATTCTTCGCTGTGCAAACTCACAATTACAGCAAATCGCTGTTACACACCAGCACCAAAACCAGCCCAAAAACCTCTGCGATTTCCTTCTCCAATGTCCCAAAAACATCCTTAAATCATTCCTAAGGTATTACGACGATAAAGGCACAAAATCTACGATTTATTAGGCCAATCCCGTATCATATTTATGCCTCTAATTCCCATATATTCTTACAAATACCCCACATTCATTAAAGTTCTCACAAACACTTACCTTATACGGTTAAACAACCTCAACAACAGATTTGGCCACGAAGGCCTAATTTTCCTTACTCTCAAATCAGCCTCAAACTTATCAAACCATTAGTTCAAATCTCTCAAACTCATTGAACACATTACTAGAAAGGCAACAACATTCCAATACTCAAAAATCCCTAAACCCTTAAATCAGCTTTAAACACGTTGAATCACATATTGAGAACAATGAAGACAATACTCTTCATACCTTAATTGCCGACTTTAAGCCTTTCTCCTTGATTCTTGAAAACCTCGCGAAGCTTTTGCTTCAATCCTCTTCCTCAGAGCTCTAGCCTCTATTTCTTCTCTTTTCACGCTCTAACAAGAATGAATCATAATTCTCTCAAAATTCCTTTTTATTAAACCTAACTTTGGACCTTTAAAATGGGCTTTCCAATTTAACTCTCACTAACTCTCCTCAATTGTCCATTTTGCCCTTAATTCACTTATATTTATTTAAATTAATAATAATACCAATATATTCATATTATATACTATTATTTAAATAAATAACTCAAAACTCCATAATTCTCACCAACCACCGAAAATCACCAAAAATACGAATATTCATATTTAAATAAATTAAATAAATATTCTAAGAATTTGGGGTGTTACACAAGGTGCCCTTGTATTTTTCGTAGAGCCATGTTCCATCAATTTGAATAACAGATTTGCAGAATGCAAAACCTCTTATGCATGGTTGAAACTACCAAAAGAGACGGTGAAAGATGACATTTCCATCAACAATAGTTCCATTTGGCCTACATGTCGGCATTGTATGCATGATTGCAACAGTTCCCGGTGCGTATGTCTTTAGCGATACCAAAAATCGCGGTAATTCCTTGTACGGATCCTCCCAGTTGCCAAATACCTATTCAACATCATTTGTCCTTGCAATTCACGCCTTCTTGTACGAGGGAGTATAATTATATTGCGTCACGATATGAGAGATAATTATACTCACCTTGACTGAAGGATCCTTGTTAACAAGTG